TACGGGCCAGTCTTGACAGACTCGAGGGTTGTGCGCCCATCTCACTTAAGAGGCCAGGGGCCAGTGCTGTCCGAAGACACTTCCGGGTCACGTGGCCAACGTGACAAAGCTGCATCTGGTGAGCCAACGCAGCACACGGAAACGCCGTTTACCTTCCCGCCAGTAAGCGGTCCCTATTTATCTACTTGCACCCGGGGGTGCTTTCGAACTGCTAGGTTGGCAGGCGCTGGGACCGAGCAACGGAAGTGCACCCCGCCGCGGGGATTCGAACTGCCAACCTTTCGATCGGCAAGCCCTAGGCACTGAGGCTTTTACCCACAGCACCACCCGGGTCCTGCCAGAAAACAAAATACAAAGATCCTATTTTTATCTATCGATAAAATTCCACAGTTTGCAAACATGACCTGGTTTTTGAAGGTCTATCTGCCCACTGTGGGCAAGGCAGGATTTTGCTGTAATGGAAATTCAGATGTAATGATGCATTCACAGTTTCCGCCCTTCAGCCCTGTGGCTTTCTTGGCTACCCCCTAGTTTAAAAACTATGCATCATGAACCTATCAACTTTCCAGAAGGGAACACCCCAAATTGCTCGGCTTATTACTTCCTCCCACTCCCACACATTACTAATGAAATTCAGTCTCAAGTGCTAACCCCTACATGAATTCTGCCAATCTGTTGAGTTCCTAGGATATCCAGATTTAACTGTTTTTGGGCAGCTGTTATTAAGCAACTCTTGCAGCGATTCAGTAAAACAGAAATTGTGTAGTAGCTCAAGGCAAGCACATACAGATCTGGCTTCAATGTTCTGAGATGCTTGGCATACAGAAATTATTAACCTGTAACATCCTAGCTCACGGTTCATCCTCTTATCCATTGCAGCTACACAGCACTAGAGTGGGTTTTCTAATGCACGTAACTTTTTAGAAATGCTTCTAAATTTGAAAATGCACGTGGTGGAGACATACTAGATTTGTGCCTTTTAATGAAACCTAACATTGAGATTTTGTATTGGAGAGCCATTCTTAGTTTAATTTAGTTTGACTCTTAGTTTAATTCTATGGCCAGATATCTCTGTGTGTTCCTCTTAGTTACAGCAATGTAAAATCCTTCAAAGCTTTCAGTGAGCTTGCTTCTGATTTATACTGGTGTAAGTGCACCATCAAGTCTAGGATAATGATATAAGAAGTGGAAAAGGAGAGGAAATGACATGAAGATGGAAAAGGCTAGAGTTTCAACCCATTTTCCCAGGCTAAAAGTATTTTCTCCCCTTTTAAGAAATCCTCTTATCTCTTGGAATCTGCTATGCCATGTCTGCAGCTGCTGCTGCTGTTGTAGCACCAGACTGTTCTATCTCTCTTCTGACTGCTGATCCATCATGGTAGCAGCCAAACAGCTTGAAGATTAAGGAAGTAATACAGTTCTAAGGCCATTAAAAGAGTAGGCTGCTCTCTGGTCATGGAAATTATCTCAGATTTCAATGCGTGCCAAATAATGGATTACTACTGGGATATGATTTTAACACTTTGGGGGTCAAGTCTATTTCTTGGTAGTTAGAAAGATGCGTCGGCGTCATCATCATCATTATTTTTATTTTAAAATGGCTGCCTTACAGTGAAAAAGACCAATGGTTATTCTACAGTGAAATCCTCTACATGTTCACTAGGAAGCAATCCCACTAAATTCAGTGATGCTATTGGACTCTAACCTTAACCTAGAATTCAGGATATTGTGTTATAAATGTATCATCCCTAATTAGTACACCAGAGAAAGAAAGCAGGATAAAGTAAGGTATACTATGACAAAAGTTGTTAGCAGCAGAATAGGAAAAGTAAAATGTTCCCATATGGCTTTATAAGCAGATGAACTATACATAACATACTACTTGGGAAAGTCAAAGATTCCTATGTGAGTAAAGGGCAATTGAGCCACACTGCTTGCCTCATACCAGTGTCATGCTCACTCTTCCAACCTGGCCCTCCAACCTCTGTATGTTGAGCACAAAGATGCCAGCTTCTCAACATAACTGAGGCAGCCCGACACAATGTCTTGATCCAGGCAAGCAATTATATTTAAGATCATTTTTTGTTATTATATTTAAATCTTATTTTTGGCACAGTTGTCAGAGGGGTAGCCATATTAGTCTTTTTTGTTTTTAGTCAAAAGCATCTTGTGGCACTCTGAAGAACAAGATGACAAAAACTTCACTAGATTCATGAAGTGTTATCTTCAATTAGCAAGAATACATATGCATGGTTTTAGGCTGTGTGTGGAATGTAGCCGGTGTGGTCAGAGGAAAAGGAAATAGTACAAAAAAACTAGAGAATAAGTAAAGATTAAATGTATGTAAAATAAGCACAGTGACCAGTCCCAAGCAGTGTTGATGGTAACACAAACATCCTGCCATTGCTAGCTAATTAACACCTGCAGTGGGATTAAAAAAACTTGTTATCTCTGTTCAGCTGATAGAATTGAACTTATCCATAAGTTGTGATTTCACTCTTCTTTCAAGAATTCTCACTTTAAGGTCACCAACAGAGTGTCCTGGGAGGCTGAAATGTTCTCCAACTGGGTTTTGTTAGCTGCTTTTATAAGATTGTTTTAGCACTAAAGAAAGGGAGAGGAATGGTGCTAAGTAGATCTTTCTGTCAGCATTTCTGCTTGTCTGACAGAAGGCTCTCCAATCCCACCCAATTGCTTTGGGGGTTCTCCCAACCCTCTATAGTGAATTTGGGGGAGGCACAGAGTTTGTGCGGCAGGGAGGGGAGGGGAGGGGAGGGGGGAAAGCCCTGTTGTATAAGCAGGAATGGATTAGTTCAATCCAGTCCAATGATACAAATGCTAACAACTCAATGCTGTCGTAACATTTCTAGTCCTGTTCCTCTGTCATACATTTCTATTGCTGGTAAGCGGTGTCACAATTTCTCCACTCAGCCAAAGGGAAACCATATAACTGTGCATTAACACATTTGTGCAAGCACTCTTGCAAACATTTAATGCCAAGCAAGATTCAATGTACATATTACTTGTTGGATCAGAACCTACCAGCATAAACTAGATGCATGTCAGGACGCTACGATGTCAGGGCACTATCTAGTTCAACTGAATTACTTTCACTTGGATATCAATTTAACCTGGGAAATCAGCCATATGACCAGGGCTATGCTAGGTTCTACGTGTGCAGACCTCATTCATATATTATGCCCTCATGAACAGCTGCTACTGGTGCATCTGGTGGGGATGGAGGTATTAAGGTTCTCTCTAGCTTCAACTCTTCATCACACATTTGGGGAGCTATCAGAAAAAGTACTGACTGATCTGCCATGTAACAATATCTAACTACTGCACTTTGGCTTTCTTTCTGTTAAAGCCATTTGAATGGGTACTTATGGAAAGTAATACATCATGTTCATTACTACTGAAATCCATGATTCATTATGGCTTAACACAACAAACCTCTCTCTTTCTAGCTTGAGACCTTGAGAGTTCAAGGACTTGGAATGAGGGCATTACAATTTCTAACTTTGTTCCAGTCTGGACACTCAACTCCATATTTAGCACCATTTCTTCCACACTTTACCCATTAGCCCAATAAGATATGTGACTGAATTTTCAGCATTTCCCTTAAATGAAGCAGTGGGGTGAGGTGAGGCTCTTAGTAAGACCAAGGAAGCAGCACAGGAGGTGGGGGCATTTAACCATTTCATCATGCACTACTTTTTGCAACATGGGGGATACAGTCATCATGCAGGTGTCTGCATTACTAATGCAGAGCAAATGGTAACCTGAGAGTGATGATGGGCGGTGGGGAAGCAGACTAGAAAAGGGTTACATGTTATTAGCACTCACACTGCTCCCAGTGACAGATCTCCCTGTGAAATGTGTACTTTGGCCCACAGTTACAGAGAGAGAAAGTGAGAAACCAACATTTATCAACTCTGTTATACTGCAAATTCCAGAAGAAAACTTACTCAAGCAAAGTAAAAAAAAACCCCACACAACTCCCAACCTTCAGTTTAGTTTTACTCATTTTTCATGTTCCTTCCCGCTATCAATCTACCGCACCTTGATTAACAGTAAAACTTAAAGTAGACGAAGGCAATGCATAACATGACAGAAGTTGTGCTCTTCTTTCAAGTCTCTTCTGGACGGTCAAGGAAAGCAAGCATATACCGGCCATGGGATTTTTGTTCAAGGCCATAAAGCTAGAAGAAGGTATGCTATTAAGTGAAAAGAAAATGCTTTAAGTAAATTGAATGCTTTTATTTATTTATTTGCTTGCCTAATACCTGAAGGTGCATTTTTGTGATTTTTCATTAGAAACGATAGCAACATCCTCCAAGACGAAAGCTAGGTCATTCCCCTCCCATTCAGATTGAAGTTAGCTTTTTGGGGGGGAACACATCAGAACACAGTATTTCACAAGAAGCAACAGGAGAAACATGATAATATGGGTTGTGTACACCACTTCTCAAACCAGTAGTGGGAGTACACTGGATTCAGAGTCTGCAGGGAGCAGGGGGCTGTACACAGCCAAAGCCTTCCTCTCCTCTTGCATTTGACCAAGGCCAGTGTGATAGTAAACACTATGGGTGTTATTAATTAAATAGTTGTGCAGGCACAACAATCAGTACTAGCGCAAAAGGGTTTTTTCTTCATGCACCCTGCAACATTCCCAAATCTGCTCTGGAGGACTGGGGGAATCCTCTGAACAGATTTAGGGGGTATGTAGGAGGAGAGGGAGAGAATGTTCTGTTGCGACTTCAACTGAATATAATCCTGTGTTTGTAGGATTGGATTCTAAAATGCTTTGAGATGTAGCCTACATTTTCCTTTGCCCACAGCAAAGACTAAGAAAAAGCACAGTCTCTGCAAGCATCTGTCAAAAGTGGATAACATCTCAGGTGTGTCATCTGCACTCTTTCCAAACATTCAGGGAGAGTTAGAGTGGATTAAGGACCATGGAAGCAAGCAAACAGTTTGATTTTACTGACGGAAGAAGCAGTCTCTAGCTTGGGCATGACCCACTGTACAACTCCTAGTGTGTGCGTGCATGTGTGAATATATACATATAATGAACTTAAAATGATACCACAAATCTATTCTTAATGTTGAATTCAGAGCAGAATACATATGAACTATAAAATCACTTTTTAAAAAACATTACAGAATTAATTAACATAGTAAGTATTTAACAACTCACGATGTTCCTGGACTTGCTGTTGGCGGAGGACCTAGAAAAATGAGAATTTTTTTAAAAAGAGGAAGAGGAGGAGTTAGTTTTTACTAAGTTTACAGCAGAAAATTTTTGTTTTTGCTTGTCAATTTTAATTTATTTTATTGTTCCAAATTTCTAATATAAGATTCAAAGCTATTGCTATGTATTTCTCTGCTATCAATAGGTATACATTTGCTCTTACACCACTTAATATTTTAATGAGTGCATTCTATAAACAATGATAGATAGTGTGTGTTCGTGTGTGTGTTTAGTACAGTTTGGCTTTCACTCTGCTCAGTATTGTAACCCCAGCATATGATATGAAGGCACATAAGGCCACTACCTTGCTAAACAGATTTGGGTCTGCTTAATGCCTGAATGGGTGATTGTCTGGCCCAGCTTGGATTCCATGGTGGAAGAAAGGCAAGATATATAACAACAACAATAACAGATTACATGTTCTCGTGCCTAAGGGCAGAAGTAGCCCACTGGCCAGCAGTGCTAGGGGGGAAACAAAATGTGATGTTAAATGCATGCAAAAAGTTTAAGGGCACTTTTTTGAAATTACTATTTAAATCTAGCCTGCAGAGGTTGGAGCCTCAAAGCAGCATCAGGATGGACATATCCCGGCATTTAATTCTTTGCTGCATTTTGCATTTAGCCATGGGAGAAAAGCTTCCATTGGCACTACAGCATCACAAGTGGGAAATGGTTTCCCCGCCCAAGCAGGACAGCAAGAAGAGAAAATATTAAATCCCTGCACACTAATATCTCAATCGCTATCCTACGCCTGCGTGGCTGATATTTAAGTAATAAAAAATGCTTACACATTTAATATAACATGTAGTTTGGCTCTTAGCTGCGCCTGCCTCCAACACTGTTTGTTTAACAAGCTGTTTATAATGTAACAATATCACAAGATTCTCCATTGCAACGGCTTGTATTAACATCAATCAGATTGCAATGGCTTGTATTAACATCAATCAAGATGTAATCTGAAAAGTAAATAATTGAATAAAGTGATAAATCTGCTTGCTTTGTCATTCTGAATATGCAGTTTTGTACAGCTATGTCCTGTGTTAACTTGGTTGGGCATGATGGGGAAACATTTATCTTTGCCTCCATTTTACCCAACTTTTCTTGAAAGAGGAACTTTTCCAGCAAGAGGGACTTCTTACCGAATTTCACAAACAGTACCCCAGTGGTAGAAACCGTTTTCTTGCCATTTGTTGCCACACACTGAAAGTAGCCGGTGTCTGTGGTATCAAGGTTTCTTATTCGTAATCGAGATCCATAGTTCGTTGCACGGAAAGATATCCTTCTGGGTTCCTGGACGACGGGAGCATCATTTTTCAACCAACGCACAGTTGGAGGAGGATTCCCAGAAACCCTACAGTGCAATTCTGCCGTCTGGCCTAAGGTAGTGGTGATATTGTTCATGGGCTCATCAAGCTTCAAGAAATAATCTGTCAAATACACAAGGAAGAGGGATTAGACAAAACAACTGCTCACTTGGCCACAGTTTTAAACAAATCAGTTTCTTCCACCCAAGAAATTTGTAATCAAACATAAATAATGTATTCTAGCATATCAACTATGAATGAATCTCTTTTTCCTATCAAGAAAGATTAATGGATGTATATCTATTGCTACATACAAATATGTAAAGTAGTATAAGGGTCACAAATAATCTACTGAAGATGCTGTCTTACATTTAAATGTCTACTCATAAAGCTGGCTGTTGGAAGATCTGTTCTGTCTCTTTCACATTCCAAATGTGCTCGTGGTTATGTTATTTAGACAATATAGATAACGGCTCTGCATTGCCTTATATAATATTTAGCTACTTCTGTCACTGTTCACCCAGCACACTTATTTCATTTTATTGCTATATGATTATTATCAGATTTCTGAAAGTGGAAACAATTTGAAATCATTTGAAACTTACATTTGGTACCAAAGCTTCAGTAAGTTTAACAACCAACATATTGAGTATGCATTTATATCTATCTGTATTTTAGACATAAAATATTGTGTGAATTGTCTTCTTAGTCTAGCAGATGAGTTTCAGGTGAAGGCAACTACCTAATTTGAAAAATTAATTGTCTTTTTTTTGGTAGCTTTTTATACATACTCACCCTGTTTTACCTTTGTTATGGTAGCTTTATTTATCCAAGCAATGTTGTTGAAAAGGTAAGCTGCCTATGGGAAGCCACAACTAAGTTTTCTAGACCAGATAAACCCAACTCTCTAGCAAGTTATACTAGCTTGACCTAGGGATGCGGGTAGTGCTGTGGTCTAAGCCACTGACCCTCTTGGGCTTGCCGATTGGAAGGTTAGCATTCAAATCTGTGTGACGGGGTGAGCTCCCATGCTCTGTCCCAGCTTCTCCCAACCTAGAAGTTCGAAAGCATACAAGTGCAAGTAGATAAATGGGTGCTGCTGTGGCAGGAAGGTAAATGGTGTTTCTGTGTGCTCTGGCCACTTGTCATGGCCCTCCGTGTGCCAGTAGCGTTTGGTTGTGCTGGCCATGTGACCCAGAAAGCTGCCTGTGGACAAATGCTGGCTCCTTCATCCTGAAAAGTGGGGTGAGTGCCGCACATGGTCACCTGTGACTGGACTTAACCGTCCAAGGGTCCTTTACTTTTTTACCTTACAAGCTTGACCACTCATCTGTATATACATTAATATAATTTTATGGTAGCTGTAGCCTTCACACATAAATGAGTAGCATGAAGTAACGCTGGCACTTTAACAACATTTAGCAAGCACTTTAATATTCCCAATGTTCAGCTAAATAGGCACCTATCTCTGGATCTGGTCAGAAAACAGTCTGTTGGTTCTTTCAAGAATAAGTTTCTTTAAAGAAAATAAACTTCTTCCCCCTCTTGAACTAGAAATCTATCCGCTTCTGATGTTGATGCATGTATGGTTTCATTTCCCACAAGACCTACATCCTCCATTTTTTCTAGCTTCTTTTTTTGTCATTGGCGTTAGGATTCAAATGTCCTTATTGGATCTATGTTCCATTTTTTGGCTATCAGTAGTGCCAATGTTTCTTCCATGCAAACACAACACCAACTGCTGCCTATCTCTATTAATTTCCTTCAAGTATGGCACGCTTACTCTTTAAATCCAAATTTAACCAGCTTCTCTCTTCAAAGGGCCACCTTTTCCTATCCAGATGTTCAGATTTGGTAGCCAATAGCAAATGTGTTCCTGGACATCTTTACTAAAATCCAACCCACCTAAAAGTCAACTCTCAAAGTACAATTTTGTAAATATATGTGCTTCTTTCAATTTACAGAGCTACTGCGGAACTGTAATTTAGAAGGCAAAGGAGGTGATTAAAGAGACCTAATTTTACAAGCTTTTAACACCTTAACACAATTTTGCCTATGTAAACTTCGGTTAGATGTTTAGCTTCATATCAAAGACGTTGCAATATCATGAATACTGTGGGCAAAGAACCCACAAGGGGCTGGCAGTATATATGATCACCATTTTACTGAAGAAGGTATTATAGCAATGAAGACAGTTGACTACAATTTTACAAGTGAGCAAGGGGAAGTGGGTTCACCACTCACTTAGGGGTCCATATAATCTGGTCTCATGCTTTGAACACTTAAAAGAAAACTCATTGTTAAAGTATAGCCTTAGTCAGATCATACATTCTTGAATTCCCACAAAAATCTGCATTTAATAAAATCATACTAATAGTGCACAGCTTCTGAGCAACCGCATTCAAATTTTAAGTATTAGATTTCTTTCCAATGCTGAACTTGATTACACTTCAAAGAGAGTAATTTAGCTGCTTTACAGTGCAATAGAGTCAAAGAGGGAAATATTAATTTTTCTATGATCGTCATGCTGACAAGGGTACAGAAAACTAACACAGAACATACAGTATTTCCAAAGAAGCATGGGTGAGGAACAATTAACAGGGTGCTGATTTAT